GGGGTTGGGGCAGGGGAACTGGGCCTGGCCTGTGGGGTTGGGGTTGGGGGAGGGGAACTGGGCCTGGCCTATGGTGGGAGGGGGGATTGCCAAAGGGGGATGCATCAGGATCCTGGCATGGGTCTGCCCCAGCCCCTTGATCGGCCTCAGTAATGTGCCCTCCCGCCCCCATCTGGCCAGGGTCCCGTGGGCCGAGGCCCGGGCCAGGTTCTTCAGCCAAGGGAAGAACAAGGTGTCTCTGGACGCCATCGAGCGGGCTGCCTTCTTCCTGGCGCTGGACGAGGAGGCGCACGGGTACGAGCGGGGCAGGGAGGATAGCATGGACCGCTACGCCAAGTCCCTGCTGCATGGCCGCTGCTACGACAGGTAGGGGACAGCGCCGCCGCCCCGCACCTCCACCACTGTCCTCCCCAGCCTTGACTCCAGACTCTTCCTGTCACGGCATCCCTCCCCGTTTCCTCGCACGCCCGTGCCCACCGCGGGTCTCACGTTGTGTCTCCCATCCCCTTGTGCTCCCCCCCGTGCCAACCGCAGGTCTCACGCTGTGTCCCTCGCCCCCTTGTGCTCCTCCTGTGCCAACCGCGGGTCTCACGCTGTGTCCCCCACCCCCTTGTGCTCCCCCCCCATGCCAGCTGTGTGTGTCTCCTGCCATGTCTCCCACCCCCTTGTGATCCCCCCTCTGAACTCCCCCCTTGCCAGCCACAGACATCTCATGCCGTGTCCCCCACCCCCTTGAGATTCCCCCCCATGCCAGCCGTGGATCTCACGCCGTGTCCTGGCCCAGTGCCAGCCATGTGCATCTCACAACACGCCCTCCACCCCCTCACTGCCCCCTGCCCGTTGTGTGCAATTCATGCCATGTCCTCAGTGCCCTCGGCACCACCAGTACCAGCCGTGTGTGTACGACAGTGTGCCCCTCCTCCCCTCCCCCCATGCCAGGTGTGTGTGTCTCACGCTGTGCCCCTGCCCCTGGCACCCTCCCCATCTCAGTGTCTGCCAAGTATGTCTCATGCTGTGCCCCTCCCCCAGGTGGTTCGACAAATCCTTCACCCTGGTCGTGTATAAGAACGGCAAAGTGGGCACCAACGCGGAGCACTCGTGGGCCGACGCGCCCATCATGGGGCATCTCTGGGAGGTAATGGGGTGGGGAAGGGGACTGTCCATGGTGTGCCTGGGGCAGGGGCCAAGATCCCACCCTCAGTGCAGGGAGGATAATGCCAGGAGATGCTGTTTCAGGGTGTGCCTCTGCAGGCGAGTCTGAGCCCTGGTGGGACGGGGGTGATTCCGGGGGGGGGGCCCACAGAGACAGGAAGGTTTGGGAGTTCCCAGCCCAGGGGGCTCAGGGGTGTTGCCAGGGTGTATGTGGACAGAGGGTCAGGCTCTGTGTGCAAAGGGACTCTGAATTCTCAGCCTGTAACGATGCTGGTTCTGGCGGGACCCAACAGAGAGTGTCAATTCAAGACAAATTGCTTAAAACAGGGCAGTTACAGCCCCAGGCTGCGGGTTTTCCACCTCTAAGGTTAGGTCTACACTACCCGCCTGAATCAGCGGGTAGAAATCGACCTCTCGGGGATCGATTGGGACGCGACAATCGATCCCCTAATCGACGCTCTTACTCCACCAGCGGAGGTGGGAGTAAGCGCCGTCGACAGGAAGCTGCAGAGGTCGATTTTGCCGCGGTCCTCACAGCGGGGTAAGTCGGCTGCGATATGTCGAATTCAGCTACGCTATTCACGTAGCTGAATTTGCGTATCTTAAATCGACTCCCCCCTGTAGTGTAGATGTAGCCTTAGGCACCAAACCAGCCAGACAGAGAGAACTTCGATCTCACCCCACTGGCTAACCACAAGTCACACAAGCAATTCCCTTAGACACTCCAGTCTCCTAGTATCACCATCGGCGCCACGCGTTATGGGGCTGAATGGTTATGAAAACCAATACCCCAGTAAAAGAAAAACAGTTCTCTTGATCCCAAAGGACCGAGCCCACAAATCAGATCTTACCCACAAATCATGCTGTTGCCAATCCTTTAGAATCTAAAATCTAAAGGTTTATTCATAAAAGGAAAAAGATAGAGATGAGAGCTAGAATTGGTTAAATGGAATCAATGACATACAGTAATGGCCAAGTTCTTAGTTCAGGCTTGTAGCAGTGACGAAATAAACTGCAGGTTCAAATCAAGTCTCTGGAATACATCCCCCGCTGGGATGGGTCATTCAGTCCTTTGTTCAGAGCTGCCGTTTGTAGCAAAGTCCCTCCAGAGGTAAGAAGCAGGATTGAAGACAAGATGGAGATGAGGCATCAGCCTTTTATAGTCTTTTCCAGGTGTAAGAACACCTCTTTGTCCTTACTGTGGAAAATTACAGCAAAATGGAGTCTGGAGTCACATGGGCCAGTCCCTGCATACTTTGCTGAGTTACAAGGCGTATCTGCCTTCTCTCAATGGGTCCATTGTATAGCTGATGGTCCTTAATGGGCCATCAAGCAGGCTAGGCAGAGCTAATCTCAGCTTGTCTGGGATGTCACCCAGAAGCATAGCATAAGTTTGAAATATAGACAGTATAGAGTCAATATTCATAACTTCAACTACAAAACTGATACACACATATAGACAGCATAATCATAACCAGTAAACCATAACCTTGTCTTAGACACCCCATTTGACCCCCTTTATACAAGATTTGGTGCCACTACAGGACCTTGGTTGCAACCATGTTCTATATGATCCCAGTTCAAGTCAATAACGTGACACAGCCCCAGGGGTGCATGGGCACAGATGGGAGGGGCTGTGAGTTCCCAGCCCTTGGGGTGCAAGGGTGGTGCCAGGGGTACGTGGGCACAGGGACAGAAGGGGCTCTGGGTTCCCGGCCCCGGGGGTGCGGGAGTTTTTCCTGCACTCACACAGGCCCCTCCCCCTCCTTGTCTTTTTTTCTCTGCAGTTCATGCTGGGGACAGACAAATTCCACTTGGGCTACAGCGAGGGGGGGCATTGCTGTGGGGAGCCCAGCACAGCCATGGCCCCTCCCCAGAGGCTGCAGTGGGACTTTCCGGAGGAGGTAGGTTTAGCCCAGCTGTAAGCAAGGGAGATTCCTTCCCCCCAAGCCTGACTGCCCTGCCCCCACTGGGATCAGCAAACCCCCTTTGCTAGGCGCTGGCTCCCCTGGCCCTGCCAGAGCCCGGAGTCACTAACCCCCCGGCCACTCTCCTCTCCCGGGCTTGGGGGGAGCTTTGTTATGGGCAGTGCCGGCAGCAACCCCGACAGATCAGGCTGCCAGACGCTTCCCATTGTAAGAGCCTGTTTTCAGCTGCTTATTGTCGGGGACTTGATTTTGCCAAAGTTCAAGCGTTGGGCTGAAATTTCCCGGGCCGGAGTCTGCCCCGGGCTGAATTCTCCTGGAAAAGGTAAGACAAAACAAGAATGAGCTTGGGGGAAGTGCATTGATTTGTCCGTATGAAACGTTCCGAGAACTGCTTCGTGGTTTTGGAGCCGAGCCTGGGGTGAGCCTGCGTCGGGCGCCTCTTGTCAGGGCAGATCCCCAGCTCTGAACTTCGGAAAATCTCCATTTGCACGCGCTCAGTGGAGATTGGCGGCTAAATTCTCCAAGATTTTGTCTGCACTGAGCATGCTTCCTCTCCTCACCGCTCCAAGGTGCGACCGGACGATGTCCGTATCATGGATCCGCAGCACTGGGGTTGTGCCCCACCTCTGGCCCTGTCTCTAGGAGGAGCCCGTCAGTGGGCCCGACCCCCAGGGTCTCTCGCTTCCTCCAGGGTGAGCCATGCAGCCGGACCTCTGGGTCTCCAGCTGTTCTGCTCACACCACGAGCTCAGTCCCGGCTGGAGCTTTGTCCACTCCTCAGGGATTAAGGCACCGCGCCCAGCATTTGCAGTGACACCCTCACGCTCTGTCAGAGGAGCTGGGTTCATTAGTCACCTGGCACCCAGTCTAGGGCGTCCTCAGGTCAGCACAGAGAAAGGCAGGTTAAAGCAGAGACCTCCTGGTAAGCCCAGAGCCCAACTGTTCAGGCTCTTTCGTTATTTCCAGGACAGAGCCAAGATTCCTGCCAGCAGCCAACTCCTATCCCCCACTTCACACCTTCCCAGCTGGGAAACCCACTTCCCCCTGGGGCGCAGTGTCCTGGGGACTGGAATTGCCATTGCTTTCTCAGATAACCCACTGGTATGGGGTCAGCCTCGGCCAGTCCAGGGTCAGACAGTTAGGCCTCATTCCCATCTCGTAGCCTGCCCTGGGAGCCAACAGTCCTCCCCCCTCCCCCCCCCCTTGGGGAGCCATGCGAAATGTAAGGGAAACAGAGGCACACACAGGGTCATAACAGTATTGCAAAAAATTCCCGCGTTGTTGCATCTCTCCCCTTCGCGGCTGCACTGAGCAGGGTCATTTTAACCAGTGACCGGGGAAGTCCAGGGACCCCCGTTCACAAAAAGCATCAGCCAGAACATCTGCACGCCATGAATGACTGCCCCCGCGCAGCCCTGGAGGGTTAGGCGCCATCTGAAAAGCTTTGCATTAACCCTTTCATGTAACGTAGCCGTGCCGTGGAGCGTGGTCAGGAGAAACAGTAAAGTGCCACCCGAACATGTCCGGCTGAAGAGCCCATCCCATGGGCAGGCATTCCTTCTCTGTGGCCGTATGGTTCTGCTCCCCGGGGAGCAGCTTCCTGCTCCGGGTTACAGTGGGGTGCCTCTCCCCATTAGTATCGGCCTGCAGCAGCACCGCCCTGTGTCTGAGGCATCTGTGAACACCAGGAAGGGTCTGTCAAAGTCTGGGTTTGCCCCAGCTGGGCCCAGGCTTAGCCTCCTTCAGAGCCCAGAGACCCCCTGGCCCTGCTCGGTCCACACCACCCCGTCTGGCTTGTCCTTCCTGTACAGTGTGGTGATGGGAGCCGCTAGAGAGCTAACGTGGGGCACAAACCTCCGGTAGTACCCCACCATCCCGGCGTAGGCCTGGGCCTTGGTCTGGGGAGCGGGCTAGTCTCTGACCGCCTCCACCTTGGCAGGCTCTGGCCTTACACGCCTGCTCCCCACCTTCTGGCCCAGGTATGATATCTTGGCTATCCCCACCTTACACTGTTCCACCTTTACAACCAGTCCTGCATCCTGGCGGCGACCCAGCCCCCTCTTCACCTGGGACGCGTGGTCCTCCCAGGTCTGGCTAAAGACACTGATATCATCAATGTATGCCTAGGCCAAGTTCTCCATCCCCCTCAGAAACTGACCCACCAGGCGCCGGGAGGGGCCCCCTTGAGGCCGAAAGGCAGGACCAGGAACTCAGAGAGCCCCAAATGGGGGATAAAAGCAGATCTGAACCTGGCGTCTGGGTCCAAAGGCACCTGCCAGTAGCTTTTAGTGAGATCCATGGTAGTGAGGTAACAAGCCCTCCCCCAAAATTGTCTAGGATCTCGTCAGGCCTAGGCATGGGTCAGGCACCAGACATGGTGAAGGCTCTGAGCTTCCGATAGTCCACTCAGAGTCTGATCGACCCGTCCCCCTTGGGGACCAGCCCCACGGGTGAGGCCTAGGGGCTGGTGGATGGTAGGATCACCCCTAAAGCCAGCATGTCCCCGACCTCTCTCTCCAGGGCCTGGGCTGTGCTCCCAGTGACTCTGACGGGGAACACTTTGACTGATGGGAGAGTTGGTTCCTGGTAGACAGCCAGGTTCATGAGCCCAGGCCGGCTAGAGAACAGCGGCTGGTAGGAATCTCTGATCTCTGCCTGCCACGCAGGAGTTAGCTGGTCAGAGAGGGGAACTGATTCCAGCGAGGGGCTAGCTTCTGTCTCAGGGAAGAGATCCACCAGGGGATCATCCCCCCCTTCTCCTCCCACTGCCCACACGTGGCCCGAATCAGCCTCTCCCCGTCCAAGTACGGCTTCATCATGTTGACATGGTACCCTCGGTGGCTGTGAGCCCGGCTGGACAGTTCCACCACATAGTTCACCTCATTCAGCTGTGTGATGACCTTAAAGGGCCCGTCCCAGGCGGCCGGGAGCTTATTCTTCTGCACTGGGATGAGAAGCATCACCTGGTCCCCGGTGCCATAGGAGCAGGCACATGCTGTGGGGTCGTATCAGACCTTCTGCTTCCCTTGGGCCCTGACCAGGTTCTTCCTGGCCAAGCCCATGACGCCGTGAGCCTTTCCCCTGGGGCAAACAGCACGTGGGGTAAATGCGTGTCCCAGTCCTGCCGATCTGGTCCATAAAAGTCCTCAGAGTCATTTTCAGGGTCCCATTCCACTTCTCCACCAGCCCGTTGGACTGAGGGTGATACACCGAGGCCGAGGCGTGCCGGACCCCACATTTCTCCCACAAGCCCCGGAGCAGGGCTGACATGACATTGGACCCCTGATCTGTAAGGACCCTGCTGGGGAACCCCACGCTGCTGAAAATGGTCAGCAGCACATCTACCACAGTGTCTGTCTGGATGGAGGACAGGGCCTGCTTCCCCCTTATCCCAGGCCCTGACCACTCTGACAGGGGGCACGGGACCTGTAGTATTGCTGGACTGCACCAGACTCCAGGCCAGTAGAAACCCTGCAGCAGCCTTTGCCAGGAGCACAGGATCCCCTGCAGCGGTACCTCTGGGGAACCACCAGCTGCCTCCTGATCCCCCAGGGTTACATTTTCCCCAGGGGAGCCCACTCCTGGTGCAGGAATCCGGTCTCCAACAAGGGACTTCCTCCTTAAGGGGTTTGCAGTGCTGTGGCCAGCCAAGGCCCTCAACTTCTCTGAGGGGGGGGGTTCTTTCTGCTGCTCAGTCTGGCTGGGATGGTGTGACGATGCGGTTCTGGTGGGACCCAACGGAGAGTGCCAATTCAGGACAAATTGCTCAAACAGGGCAGTCACAGCCCAAGGCTGGGTTTTTTCCACCTTTAAGGCAAACCAAACCAGCCAGACTAAGAGGACTTCGGTCTTACCACACTGGCTAACCACAAGTCACACAAGCAATTCCCTTAGACACTTCAGTTTTCCAGTATCCCCACCAGTGCAACTTGTTATGGGGACAAATGGTTATGAAAACCAATACCCCAGTAAAAGAAAAAAGGTTCTCCTGATCCCATAGGACCAAGCCCCAGACCCAGGTCAATATACAAATCAGATCTTACCCACAAATCATGCTGTTGCCAATCCTTTAGAATCTAAAATCTAAAGGTTTATTTATAAAAGGAAAAAGATAGAGATGAGAGCTAGAATTGGTTAAATGGAATCAATGACATACAGTGATGGCAAAGTTCTTGGTTCAGGCTTGCAGCAGCGATGGAATAAACTGCAGGTTCAAATCAAGTCTCTGGAACATCCCCAGCTGGGATGGGTCATCAGTCCTTTGTGTAAAAACAACAAGGAGTCTGGTGGCACCTTAAAGACTAACAGATTTATTTGGGCATAAGCTTTCGTGAGTTAAAACCTCACTTCTTCGGATGCATAGCTATGCCCTTGCATCTGAAGAAGTGAGGTTTTAACTCACGAAAGCTTATGCCCAAATAAATCTGTTAGTCTT